AAAAAAAAAAAAAAAACTTTGTATTGAAATAATGTTGAGAAATTTATATTTGGATGTCTTCCAAATATAATAGGACGAGTAGTAGTAGTTTTTCATATCATCAAACATGCAATCAAATGTCATAACAAAGCTTCTCCAGCCTGCCCCATATTTTTACTCCACTCCAGAGTAATACAACAAACTTGCTTCAATGTTGCCTCACATTTTCGCACTAATATGAAGATATGAACTTTATTGCACTACATACATGTAGTACGGTTTATTCACCGCGCTACAATTTTTTATCTGAATCTTAGATTTTTAATTAATTTTAATTATAAATATTATTTTGATAGAATACACATCAATTAAATTATTTATTTTGTTAAATTTTTTAAATTTTTTTATTTTATAGTTGCATTTAATTTTATTTTGTAGTAATATATTTCATGTAGAGTAAAAATATAGTCGAAACCGCTGGACACAAAAGTTACATTTTGGCATTTTTTTACTCTAGAGTAGAGTAAACCTTACACTAGCAGCATGTACATTGTGGTCAATGGAGACAATTGCAAAAGATAGTGCAAGAGATGGATTTACATTGTTATCATGAAACATATTAGTGTGTGTCAGAGTCAAATGATATAGTCCATCTTTTAAGTCAGCAGAACGAATCATTTTGTGTGTTGTTAGGTCCACCAAGATGCAAGAGGAGGACAAGAATTTGATAACACAATTATTTTGTGTTAATTTAGACACATAAATTAGATTGAAAAGAAAAATGGAACATATAAAACATCACATATTGTCAAAGAAGGTAAAAGTTTGACATGTCCAATGCTAGATGTTATTGTATGATTGCATTTGGAAGACTGATTTATATAGATGTAAAGTACTACCAGTATTATATTAAGAATAACTTAAAATTGAAATAATCAAATGAAAAAGTTGAGAATTCAGGTCTTATTGTGACACAAGAACAAAAAGTCAAGTTCTACAATAGAATTTTCTCAAAGTTAGTTGTGCCTTATAATGAAAAGTTAACAAAAAAACATATATAGACCTTAAATCGAGGGTAATCTAAAATGTAAGCATGAAAGATAAAATTCAGGCCTTAAAGTAATACAAATATAAAAAGTTAGGCCTTGTAATGAAATTTCTCACGTTTTTATTTATATTGGGTTTATATAATTTTAATAATTCATATAGTTATTATTATTAATACTTTTTTCTTTAACTTAGATTAACCCCTTTATATAAATAAATTGACCTTACTCTCACCGAGAGGGCAAACAACCCTAATTATAAATTAATAAAATTGCATCTCTAAGAAATAATAATAATAATAATAATATAATTTAAAAAAAAAAATAGAAGTATCTTTCTCTGCAAAACTATCTTTATTTTATTTTCCCAAGTCTTTGCTTCATATACACTCTTTCACCCAGTTCATATGCATTTTCTTGTGACTCCTAGGCCTCATTATTATTTTTTATTTCAAAATCCACCTTATGGCTCTCAGTATTTTTTTATTTCATTTGAAGTCATTTATAAGGCATTTAATAAAAATTGTTTTGAGGTATTCAAGATTTTCATTATCATTTGTATAATACATGTTTCTTTCACTAGAAGTATGTTAATTTGTCTTCAATGACTTATAATAGCTCTGCATAATATAATGTCCTATATTATATAGTCTCTAATTAAAAGATCCAATTACATATTATAGACCAAATACATTAATCTCAAATTATCATAAACAAAATTGTGAAACTGAAAGAAATTGTCAGCTGAAAAAGCCACTAATTTGTAGGCAGCTCCTAATTGAATCATTTTTATTGAAACTAATTTCTAACAGAGATTAACGTTATTTCAACGAATCGCCCTGCGAAAATTCTTCCAAAGTTGACTAACTAACTAAGGAACGAGAGAAAGTTCCATGTTTTGGAAGTTCTGTCCCCTTAGGGTTTCCGTTCCATTCATTGGAGTTTCTCAGATAGCAATCGATCTAGATCTCAGTCATCTTGTTCTTGGATTAGCCATCGATCTCAGTCATCTTGTTCTTGATTTAGCCTTTTCTTCGCATTTGGGTCTCTCGTACTAGGTTTAGGGGTTTGGTGTCTGTAGTAGCTTTTCTTTGTCCCATCGGTCTTTTGCCCCATTCCAATTATATCGTATGTTATGTGTGCTCAGTAATGCTATTTGTTTTTATTTTTCCTTTGCTGTGTGATTATATGCTTCATTATCGCCCAGCGTGTGAATTATCTGTGTTCTCTTCTACTAGCCAGTAATTTTTTATCGTGACCTAATCCCTTTGGTAGTGAAAGATTTCTTGCAGGTTCTATTGTGTTTAATCTCGTGAGCAGTTGTCAATGGCAGACGAAATTTCCGACAAGTTGCTGAAGTTTAGGCTATCGGAAAAAGAGGGGGATGGTCTGGAACTCTCTGAGGAGGACATAGCGCCTGGACTCCGTGAGTGTCAACTAAGTCTGGTTGGTATCTGCTATGGGGAGAAAAAGATAAATGTCAATGGCCTGAAAACTACTTTGGGGAATATATGGTTTACTCGACAACCCTTCAGTATCAGGGTATTGGGGTTCAATAAGTACCAATTCTTGTTCCAAAATGAAGAAGACCGAGACAAGATCCTTAGAGGAAAGGCATGGTCGTTTGATGGCCAGTATCTGGTTTTAAAGATTTGGGATCCCAAACACTTGGAGTTCACTGATGAAGAAGAAGTTGTCAAAGTATGGGTGCACATACAAAACCTGCCTTTGCACTGGACGACAGAGGAATCGGGGTTGAAGATTGGGAAGAAGCTCGGAAATGTGGTAAATGTCCAAGCACCTGGTACTGGAAATGGGGCAGGACAAAACCTCAGAGTCCTTGTAGAATTGAAGCTGAAGGAGCCAATCATGAGAGGAACCTTCATCAAAGTGGGCCAGGAGAATACATGGATTGACTTCAGGTATGAGAACCTTCAGACTTTCTGTTATTATTGTGGGAGAATAGGCCACGGGGATAAAAATTGTTTGGTTAAAAAAGATGACATAAAAAATAATGTGCCTAAGTTAGGACAGTTTGGGGATTGGCTGAGGGTAGGGACTAGCCCCTTTGGGGATGGGAGAATTTTTGCTAGTAATTCGAGTGGCAGTTACCAGGGGAGAGTTTCCCAAAGCCCTAATCATGCTCGTAGTTTAGGCATAACTGTCTCTGAAGACAAATCTGATAATGGACTCAAAGAGTCTATTGGGGCCACTAATGATGCTATGTTTACTGCTGACATGAATCCTACTCCTAATTCCAAACCGGAGGACCCTGTGGGGACTGCCATACCTAGTGTCCCCTTGCAGACTATGGAGGTTAGTGATAATGACTCTCCATGTAACCCCTCACCCTTGTTTGAAGTAGAAGTCCATACTTCTACTAGGATTCCCAGTGGTGGTAACAGAAAAAGACCACCGTTCTCTAGAAAACCCAGAATTAAGGCAGAGCTGGATAGACAACTTATGGTTATAGATGAAAACAGTCCCACAGCTTTTGGGGGGGAGAGTAGTAAAAATGGGAAAAAAAGATCTCTTGAACTGGACTGTACTACTCCTGAGATGGAATGTGGTACTGTCTCTGAGCCTAAAAAGGCTAAGGTTGACAACAACCTTTCTAACCCTTTGGTGGAGGAAACCAGCCATAACTGGTCCCATAGTGATCAATGAAGGTATGTGTGTGGAATTGTAGAGGTCTGGGAGGACCCTCTACAATTTCCCAAATCAGAGAGACTCTTCGAGCTCACCTTCCAGATTTTCTGTTTCTTTCTGAAACAAAGAAAAAGAAAAAATTTGTAGAAAATATTTGTAAGAATCTTAAGCTAGATGATAGGTGGTATTATGAGTGTCCTGTGGGTAGAAAAGGTGGCCTTTTTCTCTGTTGGTCTCCTTGTGTTTCTGTTCTTAATATTAGTAGTCTTGATTTCTGTATTATGGTTAATTTCCAACTGAAAGGGAGAGATGAAGTGTTCAGTGGAATTTTTGTTTATGCTAGTAATGATCCTAGTATTAGGAAGTACCAGTGGGAGATTTTGGTTAGGAATAGATGTTCCTGGGGGGATTTGTGGTTTTTGGGGGGTGATTTTAATGATTTGCTGTCTAATTCTGAGAAGAAAGGGGGGAGGTTTAGAGAGGATTCCAGCTTCAGGGAGTTTAGGGAGTTTGTGATTACTATGGGGATGAGTGAGACCAACATTGTGGGTAGTCCCTTTACTTGGTCTAATAACAGGAAAGGGAGTGCCTATGTTGAAGAGAAACTTGATAGATTTTTTCTGTCCCCCAATATGAATGTTCTTTTTGCTAATTCTCTTGTTAAACATATCCCTCTTATTGCATCTGATCATAAGTTGATTATTCTGCTCTTGAATGGATTGGATGTCCCTAGGAAGAAAAATTTTAGCTTTGATGCTAGGTGGGTTAACAAAGAGGGGTTCAAGGAAGCTGTTACCAGAGGCTGGAATTCTTGTGTGCATGGTCCTGTCTTGTTCAGTATTCAAAAAAGGCTTAGGAATGTTAAGGATAGCCTCCTTAACTGGAAAAGCCTCCATCATAACAATTCTGCTGTTGTCATCTCTGAGTTGAACAACAAGATTAATTCCTTAGAAATGTTGGGGGAGGATAGAGATTGGGATGAGTGGGATGTTAGTAGGTCTCTTCTCCATAAAGCTTACAAGGAGGAGGAGCTTTTTTGGAAGCAGAAAGCTAGGGTTAACTGGTTGTCTGAAGGGGATAGAAACACTAAGTTTTTTCAGGCTAGTGTCAAGCACAGAAGAAATCTTAATTCCCTGGTCAATTTGAAAAGGATGGATGGGAGTAGATGCTTGTCTGATAAGGACACTGTTGAGGAGATTAGTAGGTACTTTGCTGATTTGTTTAGATCTACTAACCCCATTGTTGACAATTGCAATCTGCAGGGTATTCCTATGTCCATAACTCCTGATATGAATGACAGGTTAACCAGAGTTGTGACTGACTCTGAAATTGAATTGGCTCTTATGGAGATGGATCCCCTGAAAGCTCCTGGAACTGATGGTTGGAATGCTTGTTTTTTTCAGAAATCTTGGTGCATTATCAAAACTGAACTGTGTTTGGCTGTTAAAGATTTTTTTCAAAATGGGAAAATGCCTAAGGGCTTAAATCACACTGCTATTACTTTGATTCCAAAAAAAACAAATGCTGAGCTTGTTTCTGATTATAGACCCATTAGTCTCTGCTCTGTTGTGTACAAACTCATTTCTAAAATCATTGCTAACAGATTGAAAATGGTGCTTAATGCTTGCATTTCACCAACTCAGTCTGCTTTTGTGCCTGGTAGACAGTTAATTGACAATGCTGTGATTGCTAATGAATGCATACACTATCTGAATGGTAAAAGGAAAGGTAAAAACAGCTATATGGCAATTAAATTGGACATGTCAAAAGCATATGATAGAGTGGAATGGGACTTTTTGTTTAGGATTTGTAAAAAGATGGGCTTTTGTGATAAATTCATTTCTTGGATATTGGCTTGTATTTGTTCCACTTCTTTCTCCTTCAATGTCAATGGCTTCCCTCTCGGGTATGTTGTGCCTTCTAGAGGTCTTAGGCAGGGTGATCCTCTGTCACCATACTTATTCATTATCCTTTCTGAGGCCCTTGCCAATTTGATAAAACAAGCCTCTTTGAACTCTGAATTTCATGGTGTCAAGATCAGTAGAAATGCCCCTGTGATTAATAACTTGTTCTTTGCTGATGATTCCATCTTATTCTGCAAAGCAAATGTGTCCCAAGCTGCCTTGGTTTTGAGAATTCTTGATGAGTATGGCAGGGCCTCTGGTAAACTTGTTAACTTAGAGAAATCTTCAGTTTTTTTCTCCAAGAACACCTCTCCTCATGCTATCTGGGAAATTTGCAGTGTTCTGAATGGTATCTCTAGGGTTCACTCTTCCAGACATTTAGGTCTTCCGTTAGGGATTGGTAAAAACAAGAGAGATATTTTTCAATTTGTGAGTGAGAGGGTTAAGCAGAGGGTTTGTAGTTGGAAAAATGGGTTTCTTAGTGAGGCTGGGAGAGAAGTTTTAATTAAATCTATATTAGATGCCCTTCCCACTTTTGTTATGTCTTGTTTTAGGATCCCTGATGCTGTTTGTAAATCTATTTGTAGGGATGTGGCTAATTTTTGGTGGGGAATTGGGGAGGGGGGTAGTAAGAAGATTCACTGGGCTAAATGGGAGAGGGTAGCTAAACCTAAAGAGAGTGGAGGGCTAGGATTTAGAAATCTCAGAGTGTTCAATGAAGCCTTGCTAGTTAAGCAGCTGTGGAGATTAATTACCCAACCAAATCTGTTAGTGAGTAGAGTTCTTCGAGGGAAATATTTTTGGAAAGAATCTCTTATGGATGCTAAATGTAAAAATTCTGACTCATGGTTGTGGAGGAGTTGGATGGCAGCAAGGAAATCTTTAAAATTAGGAATGAGGTACAGGGTGGGTGATGGGAAGAGCATTGACATATGGAAGTCTCCATGGCTCCCTGCTCAACCATCTTTTACCCCCACATGCCAATTTCCTAGTGACAGAGAGAATCTCAAGAAAGTGGAGGATCTGATTGTGAAAGAAACAAAGGAATGGGATACTGAGCTAATCAAACAATCATTCAGTCCAGTTGATGCAGAGACAATCATAATGCTTCCTTTGAGTCACAGTGGACAAAAGGATAGACTTATCTGGCACTGGCACCCAAAAGGTGCTTTTTCTGTTAAAGCTGTCTATGAACATCTAATGCAGAGGTTGATGATGGAGGAAGCTGGCACTAGTGGACCTGACACACTCACAAAACAGATGTGGAAAACCACTTGGAAGCTCCCAATTAAAGGTAAAATTAAAAATTTTATATGGAGATGCTGGTTTGGGTTTTTGAGCACAGGAGTGAAGTTAAAGCAGAAGAAGGTGGAATGTGATGTATGGTGTCCAGTGTGTGGAGAAGAGATGGAGGATCTTGAACACTTGTTATTTAACTGCAAGAGAGCAAAGTTGTGCTGGAAGCTGGTAGGAGTTCAGTGGGACAGATTGAATGAGCAAAATACCTCCTTTCAAAACTGGTGGTATGACATTTGCACTAGATGCAAGGGACAAGGACTCAAAGACAGAATTAGCCTTTCATGCTATCTAATGTGGTGGCTATGGAAGACTAGAAATGGGTGGCTTTTTGAAAAAGTGTGGACCCCTGAACATATCATTGCTAGAAAGGCACAAGAGGAATGGACAGAATTCTCAGCGGCAGTGGGAGTGAAGGAAAAACTTAGCAAAGAAAATCAGAGTAATGAAAGTCAGAGCCAAGCAACTAGGGTGGAGGATCTTCAGGCTGGAGTAGGGCAGGCTCAGATAGCTGTCAGTGCTCTATCTAACACCTTGGGTTGGCTGGGTTGTGGTGGAGGAATTATCTCAGATGGAGTATTGGTTCAAAAATGGTCTGAAGCTGAAGCATTTACAGGAACAATAGAAGAAGGAAAGCTGAGGGCTGTAAGAAGGGCTTTGGAAAAGGCAGAAGAATACAATATGGAAGTCATCATCTGCTATGTGGATGATAAAAATCTTGCATCCAAGCTCCAGAACCAATATTCTTTCACTTGTCAGTTTGATATCATTGCAGTAGACATTTATCATTTGATTTCTAAGTTTAGGGTGTGTAATTTTATTTATGACTGTTCTAGGTGTTCTGATTGTGTGAGTTTGGCCAAAATGGCAGTGGAGGGAAAGCTAAATGTGGCTTCCCAAGATGAAGATGCCCTAATTGTCTAGGTTGCATTCTTCTTTAGTCATTGGACTTACCAGTCTGTACATTGTTTGAGTTTTTATGCTATTCAGGTTATCTTTGGAAAAAAAAAAAACTAAGGAACGAGATGCAATCTGATTGGTGCAATAAACACTCCTAGTCTCATAGCGTGCGATGCACGGGTAAATTGCATTAAATAATCTATTAATATATAATAAGGATTAACTTAATTCATTTTTAGAAAATTTTTCCCGCCAAATTCATTAATTACACTCTAAAAATAGTAACTTAACACACTTTCATTAATTATTGCTTAATCATATGCCTCTGTTTTTTCCATTTTTTTTCTTTTATGATATGGAATGAAAATCCTAATCAATCTCCTATTTTTGTCTCCATATCAATCACAGAGATAAAAAACTGAAAAAAATGGTAACAAGATTTTTAAT